TTGCCAATGATTAATGTCACAAAATTTGTCAAATAGATGAATGTTTTTAATATGTTCGGGGTCATCAAAGATTGTGATGTAAAAAGATAGAAAAAGAGCTATTTTTTGTAACACCCAATGTTTAAAATCCTGTTATTTTGTTTGTTTGTAATTTTGTATTGATTTTAACAGTAAAAAGATAGATCTATAAGACAGAGTGAAGAGTTATTGTTAATGTATATTTTTATGTTTTATAAGCTTACTCAGTAATATTACATTATTTTGTCTTCTAGCTTATGTAACATTGAGTTTTATTAGCTTGTTTAATTAGTTTTTCTTGGTCAATTATTGATGTAAGTTAAACAATAAAGATTTATATGTTTTATTTGTCGTCTTTTCAGGTTCAAGTACAACAGTACTGAAGAAACCAAGAAATAGATTTCTTAATTCATTGTTATGTTGTTTTGGTTCCAATAACAACAATAACAATAATAATAATAACAATGCCCAAACCAACTGTCAAGTGCCTCAAGTGGAAGAAAATGGAAATGCTAAGGTGTGTATTGGCTCTATTTTAAAATCATTCTTATACGCCCACACTTAAGATGGGCGTATATTGTAATCACCCTGTCGGTCCGGCTGTCCGTACGTTCACATTTGGTTCGTGCTCACTCTACAGGCTACAATTCTTTACAGATTCTTTTGATTTTGTGTGTCAATGTCATTATGAAGATGATCCCTATCGATTTTCATGATGATCGGATAATTTTTCACCGAAATATCGTGTCTGACTTGACGTTTCACTTTATTAGCTATATTGTGCAACTCGTGTTCAATCAACAGGCGACAATTCTTTACAGATTCTTTTGATTATCTGATCTTGTTGAAACTTGGTATGCATGTATGTATTGATGAGATCTCAGTCAAGTTCGAACTTAGTAATAATCAGATGAATGGTTGCAGAGTTATTGCACTTGTCTTAGTAAAAACGTGTCAAATTTGGCTTGTATGCACAATAAATGCTGCAATTTTTATCTGATCTTGATGAAACTTGGTATGTATGTATATATTGATGAGATCTCGGTCAAATTAGAAATTGGTAATAATCAGATGAATGGTTTTGGAGTTATGGCTCTTGAATTAATTCAGTGCGTCTAATTTGGCTTGTAGGCGTCATAGAGACCATTTTTTTTTATTCGTATATTGTCGGCACCCCTGTCCGTCCGTCTGTCTGTCCATCATCATTTGCTTGTAAACGATCTAAAAACTAGATTTTTTGATGGAATCAAATGAAATTCGGTATGAGTATACATATTCATAAAACGAAGATCAAGTTCGATTTTGAGCTATGTTAGAAGCAGAGTTATTGCCCTTGCCCCAAAATCTTGAATACGCTATTACTCTCTTAGTTTACAACCGATTTTGATGAAACTTAAAATGGATCTTATTGGACCTAAATCGAAAGGTTTGAGAAAGTTTATTTTCTTCTGATTAATTTAAGACTTTTTCAATGTTTAGGCCTCTTACGTCAGTTTTGAGGAGTTATTGCCCTTTAACCTCTATGCAGTAAGTGCTTCTATCAACATCAATTGCTCTGAAACACTCTGTCCATCCGTCAACATTTGCTTGTAAACGCTCTAAAAACTAGATTTTTTGATGGAATCAAATGAAATTCGGTATGTGTATACATATTCATAAAATGAAGATCAAGTTCGAATTTGAGCTTTTTTCGAGTGTTAGAAGCAGAGTTATTGCCCTTGCCCCAAAATTTAGAATTTGCTAATACTCTCTTAGTTTTCAACCGATTTTGATGGAACTTAAAATGGATGTTTCGTTTTTACCATCCGCATGCCATGAAGGGCGTATATGGCTGTGGTCCACGATCTTTTGATGAAGTTGGTATGAGACCAAGCTTGAAATTGGTAACAATCAGATGATTGGTTTCACATATTAAACCACTACAGATTTTGTTATCATTTCTAACAGCTGTTAGTGGGCGTATGTTACCTTGCCTGGCAAGCTATCTTTAAGTACAAAGTCTGGTATTGGCCTCTTGTTTCCAGGGTCTTTTTCCTCAAAAAATGTTAATATCTTTATTGTTGACAGTATGTTATTTCTCATTTTAAAACACTTACAACAAATTCTTATCATAAGAAGAACAGGACCCAGATTCCCTCATATCCCTAACAGTTAACAGTCATTATTTTTCATAGTGTCCTTGACTTTAATGATTTCAAATCTATAGTCTTGTTCTAACACATCACAATAATAACAGTCAACCACTTGACAGTTCTTCTACTAGTGTTTATATTTTCATTCTATTTATAGCCTCAGGCTTTCATTGATAGTCTATGGTCAAATATTTATCTTTTGAATATTCATGAGGTCCAACCTGCATATATTAACCTAGTTTAGCCTTGACAAATCTGATTGTAAACAGTCTAAGTTGGTTATCATTGAAACGGTAATTAATGTGGTCTAATAACTTTATGTAAGATTTACCCTATACAGCTTAGTGTTATAAGGCTATTGCTCTGTGACCTAGGCCAGTGCCTTCATTGACACTTATTTCAATACACCCTAAACCAGAATGCCCATAGTCATGAATATGTTGAAAATTTATAACTTCCCTGTTTAACATAGTATAGTATTCTTTGTACAATTATGTAGTGCTATGAATAATTACATCTCGTCTTCTTGGATATTCCTGCTATTTGATATCAGGAGTTTTTTTTTTTTTTAATTCTAAACAGTATTTTATTCAATGAAATATTCATCAAACATGGAAAAGACAGTAGCCTAGTAAACTTCGTCTTAAACCCATTTGCTGACTTTCTAAAGTAAAACCTCATCTATCTTCAGATTTTTATGAAAACATTTTTAGATTATCATGCTTATGAATCTTATCTTCAGTATTTTTACTATGGTTTAATTTGGGGTATTGAATTGTGTTTTGCTATCATTATCATGCATATGAAGGTAAATTCTTTCATCTTGCTAAATGGTTTACAAAGAAAATGAATATTCAAATTAAATATAACTATGATGTATTTCAGATCGGTGAAAAATATTTACTGCCGGCTGTCCGCCACACAGATATGCATAAAAAATGTGTGGTGATAGACTTAGATGAAACTCTTGTACATAGTTCTTTTAAGGTAAGGCTTGACAAACATTAAGCTCATACTCATTTAATGAAAATAACAAAAAAATATTTATATGTCAGAATGGAGAAAACTATTCTCTGTTTTCAAAAAGTCTTTGCTGTAATTTAATAACTGGTGCTAATGACCTGGTATGTTTTAAAGATGCAGAGTTGAAATTTATTTGCAATGTAGTATCAGATATTTAATAAGAATAAGCATTCCCCGTCTATCTAAAGATGGTTACTTAAGGAGGGTTTTTAAAACTAAGTGTATTATTTATAATTTTAGCCAATTAGCAATGCTGATTTTATAGTTCCAGTAGAAATAGATGGAACTGTACATCAGGTAAGATATATTTTTGATGGCAGCTAGCATATTGTGTATAACATTTTTTTAATGGTTTCTTTCAACCTCCACCAGTGCATCAAATTAAAAGTATTATTTAAATTAATGCTTCATAATAAATGAAATGATAATAAGATTTGTATTTCATGAATTTTAACAACAAGCCCTGATTAATATCACTGTAATAACTAAACTATATTATGATTGTAGGTTTATGTGTTAAAGAGGCCTTATGTAGATGAATTTCTACAGAGGATGGGAGAATTATTTGAGTGTGTATTATTTACAGCTAGTTTAGCTAAGGTTAGTAATATCATCATTCTCATTTACAACCTGATGTTATTCAGTAACGGCTCAGGCTGCAGCTGAAAGAATTTAAATCTTTTATTTTATCTGAAACATTAATGTTTACACAACTCCATTAGCAAAATCTTTAATGACTTTTCACAGGATTTACAGATCAAAATTTGACTTCATAATATTGATTGGAATAAATGAGATGAGTGTCCCATTATTAAGCCATGTGATCCCATGTTAAATTCCGACAATTTGCTTACATTATCATAAATTATACAGATTTTAGCTTCTTCCATGTTCTGGGTATTATTTTATATATATGGTTTAATTTTAGACTAGGAGGAAGATTTTTAATTTTATTTTGTAAATTTCAGTATGCAGACCCAGTAGCTGACCTACTTGATAAGTGGGGATGTTTTGGGGCCCGGCTTTTCAGGGAATCTTGTGTCTTTCATAGGGGTAATTATGTTAAGGTAAGGCCTTATTCTTTGTTTGGTTTTTCTTATATTACTTTTCCCATGTGTCCCCTTATCTTTGCCTTCTGAACATCGACCTGAGGGTGAAAGGGACATAAATTGAAAAAACCTTCAAATTGTCATATTGGCATTGCCAGTAATCAATTTCTGATGTTGAGCTAGTGAAACAATATAGTCAAGATGTCAAAATAGAAATTATCCACTTGAAGATCCCTTGACTGTTGCCGCTGTCCTGGCAAAATTTCCCTCATTGCACTGTTCATGGCGTCTGCCCATCTTCATTAGCCCACGTGGTGCAGAAAAGTAGGATGTAAAACTCCATTCCTTTCAATGGAATTGCAGGAACCACAGACGTCTGATTGAAAATTGGAATGATGCAAATTGATGTTATCAGTTTCCCTTTTGCACTTAAAATTTTTTCACAAATATAGATATGAAGCCAGCTGGTTTCAGATTATGTACGGTCTTATATGTCCATAAGCTGTCAAGATATTTTAATTAATAACAAATATGAAATTGTTCTCTTTCTACATACATATATATATATATACATTAACCTGCTGACCTACTTGCTCTTGACTTATCTGCACTGTGATATAATACAGTTGGCAAGACTAGCCTATTTATACTTAGAGTGCACTTGACATTATGACTGTCACAATACAGAAAAACAATGACATTTTTGCCATGAAATAACAACAAATTTTAAGACCGAAATCTATAAAACTATCAAATGAATATAACTAAGATGTCATGAAAAAGACAAAATAGTTTTCTAAACTATGATTTAAAGACATAGATGTATGACAAGTTGGTAAAGATAAATGAATAAGGTTTCATGAGAGATATTCAGCTGAACATTTTATCCATACTTTTTCTCCAATACTTCCTTAATCTTTTAACAGTGAGATTCTCCTATGTCTCACTTTAGGTCCTTAACCAAAAAATATAAGTTGTATCTGCCCATACTATGACATATTGAAGGCTTTTTCTGATAATAGAATTAGTTAAAACAAATATTGATGATTATGTTGAGTTATCTTGGGCATAACACTGGTTGAGATCATGCTAAAATTGTTTATATATTTAATGTTTGATATTGATTCTAATTGATATATATTATGTGGTTATTATTACAGGATTTAAGTCGGTTAGGTAGAAATTTAAATCAAGTGGTTATTGTAGATAATTCCCCGGCATCTTACATCTTCCATCCAGACAACGCTGTGAGTACATTATCTGCATCTTTACTTCTTCTTTTCACTTGCTCAGTTTTAATCGTAATACTGGCTTTATTTGTGGATATGCCTAGTTTCTAAGGCCTACAAAATGAGATGATCATTCACTTAACCTAGATGTCTGGCATAGATTGATATACCTTCTGATTTTTTAAACCTGTGTTTTATTATTTCCATTATATGCAGGTAGAAGGGGCTGACATTGAAATAGTATCTTTTATTTACAATGCAATAATAAATTGATACATTTGCTTACTCCACAATTAACAATAAATGTTTATGTTATTATAATTCAATTGTAAATTGATGGTATATTGATTCGTTTCATGTCATTACACTGATTTTTTTGTTAAATCAGTCTTACTATTTTTGTAGGTACCAGTAGCATCTTGGTTCGATGACATGTCAGATTCAGAACTTTTGGACTTAATACCGTTTTTCGAGGGACTTGCACGAGTGGATAGTGTATATTCAGTGCTTAAACAAACTATGGATAGTCCTTCGACCACACCCCCTTCATAGCAGAACAATGAGGACTTCTTGAAAGAAGAGTAAGCTAGAAAGGGGGGATAACATATTCACTGTCCATTTCAGCACCATTTAGATATTATTTGTCAACTACCTTCCCTTTTTGTTTACATTTGTTGACAACGTGTGTTCATCATATATATATATATAAATAATGGGAAGGATTTTATAAAAATGGCAGAAAGGTTGATCTTTCACATGGAAAAATTTTTACCCTTCTAATCAGGAGTAATTGAGTTCGTTGAAGCAAAATTATTTTTGTCTTGCTGTGAAATAAAGGACTGGAATGGAAGACTAATAGAGACTACTTCCTGTTAGAATTAAACTTACCTCCCTTGACCTTACTGGAAATGAGACAGAATGAAATGGAACAATTGTAGATTGTGAAAGTAAGACAAATATTTGAAGATCATCATTTTCAATGAATTATTATGGGCAGATTTAAGAAAACTTTATGAAATTATGAATTCTACGAATAGTCAAGTGCAACCTGTTCTGATAGCAAGAAAATGTTTTTTGTTTATGATTTATGATTGAATATTTTATATTATTGTTTTGTTATGATTTCTTTTATATATTTTGCAATGATTAATTATGTCTATTTTGAGAACTCTGACCTTGCTCTTAGGAACTTTAATAGATTTGATTTCCAAAATGTATACCTTAACCTAGTATGGCATATTTATTTATTCTGAGGTAGGCCCTATATTACCCGTGCAAAATTTGGAATTAGGAAATGATATCTTAAAATATGTTGAATATCAGTATGGATAGTTATCTGGCCAAAAAAAAGTTTTTGTTAAATAAGATTATGAAAAAAAAAATTATCATCCTATTATCATGCAATCATTGTTTTTGTTAAGAATTAATTTTTGTTTTGTCTTTAGTTATTGTTAGGCAAGGAATGTGCACATCTGTGTAACAAGCAGTCTGACTTGTATTATTTCAGTTCCTTTTTTATTCTATTCATTTTTTTATTATTGGACTGTTTGTGTTAATGTCTTGAATTTTAGGTCTGTATGTGCATTAATATCCTCGCTCAACAATTGATTCTATCTCAGTTTTGTTTTTATGTCATTCATGGTTTTCACCTGAGCTGTTTGTCTTGTGTTGGTTTCAATTGACACAGTTAAGGTTTCCCTCAAAACACATTTTGATTGTTATACTAAATATCTTAAGACTTACATTTATTTACTTTGTTTACATTCAGGGTTCTTTTATCCTAATAGGCTTTTGTTATAGGTGCATATAAAGAGGTACAATATGCATGCTTAAGCCATAGTGTTCCTTTTCTATTATCCTAAAGTGCTAGTTTAGACTTAAATTTTTAAAAACTTTAGCTTTGTTAGCTCTGTGAGATGCCTGATTCAAAGATCATAACTCTTACATCCTTTTGGCCTTTGTGGACACTCCTACACATGCACAGAATGTGAACTGGAAGATGTCATTTTAAGCAAAGGGGAAATATTCCCATTATACTTTTATCAAACCATTACCTAAATTATTTTCGAAACTAAGTGTTATTTGGAGTTAAAAAAAAATGTTTCATTGTTTAGTTTGGGTTTAATTGCTGAATACTCAAAATAAACTATCTGTTCTTCATATTTTTGAAAGCCTAATGTTTAATCTGAATTTCTATGGAGAACAAGAAAGAAATCATCCCTTCACAAGTACCTTATTACTATCTTGCCGAAAAAATCCTAATAACAACTTTTTCATATATTTGTACCTTTGTATTAGATAAAGGATTCTTTTTCACATTTTCTACACGCCTCATATCGTTTTCAAATGCTTAAATTTGTGAAATATCATCCCCGATGTTGGTTAGTACAAATTTTATATTGCTTCAAGTTTATTTTTCATTGGTTACCTTAGTAATCTGTCATATTTACAACTATGCACATCAGCATCGGCTTAGAAAATCATGTTACTATTAGTGATGTATGACACTGTATTAAGCAGGAATGTTACCATGGAAACTGTCAACAAAAAGTAATGGTTTCAATTTACATGATGTGTAGAACTGTAGCCAAATATGGAAATAAAGTCACCTTGTTCAGTGATTGTATGCAGTAGAAAATGGAATTAACTGACAGTAACAGGACCTATTCCTCATTTACCTTAATTTTGTACTATATTGATAATCCTGCTCTGATCACCACACCTTGATAGAGGTCTTGCTACATGAGTTAAATAACAAATTAGATTTTGACAGTTTTCAGGCCTGTTGCAGTGCTATTCCTCACTAATTGTTTGTTATGTTGTTTGAACACATAGACGTTATCACAGTTGTTCAATTTATCATTTATATGTTACAAGTAATTCACATGTCGTTCATCAAACATAATATTGCTGAAGTAATTAATCTTCAAGGGCAGACATAAATAGTGTTTGATATTCAATACTGAATACTCTTAAAAATATCAGTGCAGTCAATGTGCATGCTATTCTGAAACTTCAAAACTTTGTGACAATCTTCAAAATATAAAAAGAACTCTGATTGGTTGATAGTGATGATTATTTTTTTGTTTGTTTCTTCAACTTTGCATTGTATTTAGAAGTCTTATGATTTCCAAACTTATCTTAAATACTTTTACTTAAATTGTATGATCTTGTTAACTTGCTCCTTAACAAATTTTTTTTTTTTTTGCGGAACAAGTTTTTGTTTCACTGGCTGAAATACAGTTTTCTGCCATGGAAGCAATGTTTCATTTGGTTGACGACATTGTGAATTACATTATGAATATGTTTTTAATATAGAGATAGAGATATATCATGTAAATTAAATGGAAGTTTGTAAATTACGGACACCATTTTTCATATTAAAATATTTAAATGTAATTGTACATAAACTTAAATTGTAAATAGAAATAAAGCACATTGTAAAAATACCTTTAACTCCAACCTGAAAATTGTATACTAATAATATATTATATTTACCCTATTTTTTCTACCTGAACAGTAGACCTATATCTCTATGTATATGTATATATATATAAATACTAACCTCAAATCGTAGGTGATGCCACGGATAATTCTATATTTTTATTTGCATGACTTTTAACAGCTTGAAAAATTAACAAGAATCTTAGAATTAGGGTTATTATTTTGGCAAATGCTTTTGGCCTAATTTCTTGCCCTTAAAAATGTTTATTTGTGATGTCATAAAAACTATGACCAACTGCTTGAAAGAATTGTTATATTTGATCGCATGATCTCACACAAATTGTATCGGAAGAATTTGACTGTATAACCTTCTGAAGGCCAAAAAGAAGCCTGCAATTGTAGAAATAAAGAATTAGTCCATATTTTACCTTTATAATGGATTGTTTGTATTATGAATTATTCTGAATACTTTAGAACAGTACTAACTTGATCAAATATGATCCCTCCCTGCAAAACATACAACTAGTTTTAATTGGCCAGTTCAACTTTTTAAAATGAAGTTCTTATCAATGTCTTATTAGGGATCAATTTTATGAAAACTTAACCAAGATCAAATCAGGATATTAGAAAATACAGTAATCTGATTGGATATGAAATATAAATTTGAAGTCAAATTTAGTGTCTGACCAATCAGATGAAGTGAACTCATGACTGAATCCTTGGTTGAGTTTTTATGAAATTAGTTCACCTTCCTATACTAACATTATTATAGAAATGGCAAACATTCAAATTGTTAACAATATAGTTTTGTTGTATATTTTTGAAAAATGTCCAAGTTATTAGTACGTTTGTACCTCATTTTCACAGTTATCTTCCTTCCAATGACTATTGATCACTGTTGTAGAATGACAATCCTGGGACATCATTTTAAAACACCTGTCTTGATATTAGATATATTACTTGTCTTACTTTTAACTAGATGATGTTCAGACATCCCAATAAGCACATAAGCCTCAAGCTGCATTAAAATTAGACCTTAAGCAGCTTTTTCTTTATAATAGCGCAGGACAAGTCAGTTCCACCAAAAGAAGTTTTTATCATGGTTAAAACTACCAATATCATTACTCAGCTAACCAGCACTTGTAAAAGAATAGTCCTTGCTTCAGATCTAGGCCCATGCTTTGTATGAGTTAAATTCTCACCTTAACACCTGTTGATTATATTATTATTTGGGCATGATTTTGTATCAAATTGTCCAGTCAGGTCCAGTGCACCTCAAAACTCAACAGTTAAATTTAGAGGTCATTGAAACTGATAGCAAACATGCAAAAAAAATTTTTATTATAATCTGAAATATTGACCTCAATTAAATATTAAATATAGCCTAAGATTTGTGTATTATTCCCTTTGTTTATATTCCTTAGTTTTCGTAAGGCTGAAGGTATTTTGACTGTCTGAAACCCCCTTAGATTTGGAAATGAACTGTTCTAAACATAGTAATTTGTAGGAAAATAATGCATGTGTGGAAGAGTTTATTACAATTTAAGAGGTAGTCAATTAGATGTCTGTCACATGATTTTCAGCCTTATAAATTGTATATTTTTAATTTGCACCACAATTATCATATATGCAGAGTTTTTATTATAATCTCGATTTTATAACTTTTCTATTGTTATTCAGTTTGAAATGTGTTCACATAAATAACCTTTTTTTTATGTTCATTTTTTAATTTGGTTGACCTTAGGTCATTTTCCCAAATCATGTTCTCAAAGAATTTTTTTTTTATCTTAACTGAATAAATCTACATAACTGATTGTTCAAATACACTGTACATCAAGTCTTTAACCATAATCTTATAATTGTATTAGTTACGTCAGATTCATTTTCATTTTACCTTTTTTCAAATATGCTTTATGCTTTGTTTCATTGCATTACAAATTTTTTTTGAAAATGAAAAAAGTGTAGAATTTTTTTAAAAACAAATTAAAGGCATTTTTGTTCAGTAAATAATATTTATGTACATTTTGGACATCAAAAAGAATTCAAATATTTTCTGAGGTAGATGCATCGGATGCAATGTTAGGTTTAGCAATATTTGGATTAGAGACTTGCAAAGTTCCACAAAATGTATAAACTTTTTGTCTGTATAATTACATCCAAGAATGTACACAGATAACTCTGACTGACTCTAGTTATGTGACTTGCAGTGTTAAATTGATAGCTTTTTACCAATTTCACAGGGTTATAACATAATTTAATTATGAAAATTGGATTGGTTGTGCTTCATCAATTTTGTATCCTGCTCAATATTTGATGGTAGAAAATTAAGGAATATGTTGAATTCATAACAAAAGTTACAATGCCAAAATGGATGATAAATTTGCTATAAATATGTATTATACACTGTTAAAATTTGTATGCACATATTTTTATACTTAAATTCTTGAATTTTTTTTAATGAAACCTCTGAAAAATTTCACCCCCAAAAATATCAACTTTGTCATTGAAATATATTTGAGTTTAAAAAATGAGGCATTATTCTTGAATGAGGCTTTTGGAAAAAAATGTAGAACCTCTGAAAAATTTCACCCCCAAAAATATCAACTTTGTCATTGAAATATTTGAGTTAAAAAAATGAGGCATTATTCTTGAATGGGGCTTTTGGAAAAAAATGTAGTGTGATTGGTTAAAATTTGAAATGAATAATGTTGATTGAACATTCATATGAATAGAATTGTAATATTTTCATGAGTTCTGTTTTCAAGAATATAGCCCATATTGAATGTGAAGACACATTCAGCATGTTATGGCTGTGCCAATTAAAAATTGTTAATTCAGATAGTAGGACAAATGATCCTCCTTGTTTTAGAGTTGGCTCCTTACTCTTAAAAACATATTAAAATTAAACTAGAATATTTAAGTTAAGTACTATTTATCAGATGTATAGAATTTTTAAGAAAAAGGCCCATTATGTGAATGTATTATCAGTCATTTTGGTTATACAGTCCTACCAAATCAATGACTGATGCAGTGTGTTTATCTCCCCAACCACCACTGGCTTATTTTCTGCTGTAATATAGGGTTTGGTTGAATTTTGTATAAAAATCATATTTTCTCTTATACTGATTGGATTCAATATATAAACTTACCAAATCATTAAATTTCAGTTTTATCTTCTTCCTCAAATAAGAAACGAAATGGTATGAAATTGTGGGTTTAACAAACAAGGAGGTGAGAGAGTAGGGGGAGGGTATAGTTAGGAACGTGAGAGAGTAGGGGGAGGGTATAGCAAGGAACCTGAGATAGTACGGGGAGAGTATAGCAAGGAACGTGAGAGAGTAGGGGAAGGGGACTACAAGGAACATGAGATAGTAGAAAGGGGGTATTACAAGTAACACGAGATAGTAGAGAGAGGGGTATTGCAAGGAACACGAGATAGTAAAGAGAAGGTATAGCAAGGATCATGATATAGTGGAGAGTATGTATAGGAACATGTGACAGTAGAGAGAGGGAATCGCAAGGAACATGTGACAGTAGAGAGAGGGAACATGAGATAGTAGAAAGAGGGGATAGCAAGGAACATGATATAGTGAAGAGCATGTACAGCAAGGAACACGATAATTAGTGGAGAGAATGTATAGCAAGTAACATGAGATAGTAGATAGAAGGTGTAGCAAGGAACATGAGATAGTAGAAAGAGTGGATTACAAGTGACATGCCATAGTGGAGAGATGGTATTACAAGAAAAATGGGATAGTAGAGAGAATGTACAGCAAGGAAGACGATAATTAGTGGAGAGAATGTATAGCAACATGAGATAGTAGAGAGAAGGTCTAGCAAGGAACATGAGATAGTAGAGAGAGGGTATTGCAAGAAACATGGCACAGTACAGAGAGAGAGTATAACAATATGTTGTCTTATGACCCTAGAGTTGTAAGGCTATGTGGTCTTATGACCCTAGGGTGTTAAGGGTGTGCATTCTTATGACCCTAGGGTGGCAAGGGTATGCATTCTTATGACCCTATAACTATAGATCAGAATATCGCGAACATTTCCTAACCTAACTTTTTGGCTAATTCTTTAGTTCTAATGTAAGATTTTGTAAATATATTTTTAAAAATAACATTCTTATATAACTGACAGAAACTGTGGCATTCACAAGCCTTTGCAAGTAATAAATCAAATCAGTTCTACATATTGGAAGTTAGGAAGTTAAAGTTTGCACAGACAAGTGCTACTCGTAGGTATGGCGTTGTTTTCCTGGAAACTGTTGGTTGGGTTGCAGTTATACCCTAATACAGGTATTTACACAGATCCAGTAACAAATTTCAAAATGCTCTGAAGTGTTAAACTTCCTCGTCGATGTGCTGAAAAATATATATCTAAATTAAACAGAATGCGTATATATTTTCTAAGCTTCAAAAAATTAAGTACTATCCGAATATGGGACAAAATCAAATTGCTGATAATAGACCTCAAATACACATTTTACAGCAAATTATTTTTATTTTATATTTTATTTATGCAATTTATGTTACAATGAGCAGTTATCCCTTTTTTGGACCAGACACGGGGCTTGAAAAAAAAAATAAACTAGAGCCACACGTGGCACAGAGTGAGACTTTGCAAATGTAGCAAGTTGCAAAAGACTCTGAAAATATCAACCTTCTACGATAATTACATCACGCGCAAGAACAGTCTAAAGTTGAGAAGTTTCGATTCTTTGGAAGATTGTTATAACGGAAGTAGACACACCTCACAAATGAAAGTATCAGAAGATAGCCAAGGTCAATGACATTTGACATTGAAAAGGAGATTGTCAACAAAAGTCAAGGTTACGAGATACAAGTCATCAAAATTTTAAAATATATACGGCTATAAAACCGGAAGTTGAGATAGTACAGCAAATATAAAAGTATAAGTAGATAGCCAATGTGAATGACGTTTGATCGTACAAAAGTCAGGCACAAAAAGTTCGAGGTCAAAAATTGAAAATTTGGAATTTTCAAAACCTGTTCCTTTTTTTGAACTATAAAGCCGAAACAATCGAACTTCTGTGACAACGTGGCTCAACAGATGAAGTAATTGTATGCATTTTGAACAAATGTATAATTTGTGAGTTATGCCCCTTGCCAAAAATGTCAATAATGAGTAATTTGACCCGGATGTGCCACTCCCACCTCATTTCTTTGGCATAAGTTAATTGATATTTTAAATGTTATGTTCCAAATTTAAACCTTCTACATCATACAGGTCAAAAGATGTAGGTCAACAAATGTCAATAAAGGTCAAAATCGAAAATTGAAAATATAGAAATTTCAAAACCCGTTCCTTTTTTTGAACTATAAAGCTGAAACAATTGACCTATTAACGCAAACTGCCCAAAATAATGAGGTAATTGTGTGCAAAGTTCCTTTTTGAACAAATGTATCCTATGCGAGTTATGCCCCTTCCCCAAAATGTAAGCAATTAGTAATTCAACCCGGATGTGCCACGCCCACCTCAAGTTTTTTGTCATAGGTTAATTCATATTCAAATTGTCTTGTTGTGTTTCAATGTTCTACATCAAATAGGTCATAAGATATATACACACCAAGCTCAAAGAGACAGGAATATTGTAAAAAAAACCTCAAATTTAAAAATTTCACGAATTTCAATTTTGCTTTAAAGTATTAACTAATAGCTAAGGTCACTGACCTTTGACCTTATAAAGGTCAAGGTCATCAAAGGTCAAGATCACGAGATAAACCCTTTAAACTTTGTAAAAATTCAACCGGAAGTTGCAAAAAAGCAAAATCGAGAATCGAAAAACGGCTTCCTCGTGTTTTTTTTTATCTTCTTTCATTTGACACCAAAATCAGGTAGTAGTGTGCGGATTCTAGTATAGGGGGTCTCCGGATTCTAGTATAGGGGGTCTGCAGATTCCAGTTGGGTCTGCGGATTCTAGTATAGGGCGTTTGCGGATTATAGTTGTGTCTGCCGAATATAGTATAGGGAGTCAGAGGATTCTAGTATGGGGGTTAGAGGATTCTAGTTGGGGTCTGCGATCTCCCGGTTATACAAGTCTGCGATCTTCGATCTTCGGATTATACACTACCAAGATAGTAACCCATTTCGAAGAAGCTTCGTCAAAATCTATCAAGAATTGTACCTCCAAGAGCAAAAAATATGCGTTTCAAAGAACGAATATTTCTTTACTTTTCTGATTATTCATAGGGGATATTTTGGGTGATAATTAACAATTTCAACAAGTTCCATCAAAAATTGTCTTTTTAGAATGTTAATGAGCTAAAGATCAAGGGCAATAACCTATATTAAAATTGGGTCTTTTGATTGTAACCTAACGAGGAAATTCTCGTCGTAATTAGCCTAATTACGAGTGAAATAAGGACTTTCCTACTTTCTATTTATAAAAGTATTAGTGGTCCAATAATGGTATATATATGAATAAATGAAAATAAGGGAACCCAACTTTAAATATATTTTGTTTTTTTCTGAACTTAAGTAGAGCTCATTTTTTAGTGCTAATAAACAACTTCACCACGTTTCGTTAAAAGAATTGTGCCTTCTAGAGTGTTTATGAGAAATTGTGGACAGATGGACGGGATGATGCGAATATATAAAAACAGTAAAACGATTACCTGCCACTTCTTTCAAGTAGTCCAAGAAAAATCTATATACAATCTATTCTCCTAATCTTTGATTGGAGCCCTCGTCTGAAAAATTTAGTTTAAGGAGTTTTACCAATTTTGGATATGTTTTTTTTTGGTAACTTGTATTAAACAAATACAGCACTTCTTTTTTTTTTTGCTGAAAGCTGTAAATAGATAAATGATATACTTGAAAATATAGGTTATATCGAGGTTTTATAATGAAATATTTTTACATGCCCCTAGTCGTGATCTATTGAGATAAATAAGTTATGGAAGTCACAAAGTGACATATGAGTTTTAGATTAATGTAGTGTTTAACAAAGCTTAATGTATGTACAATATGACACCATACACAACATTGTTAAGCTGCATACAGCTCAATGTCACAATCATCAGAACCCTTAAATTTTGTTCATCCACGTACATCTCAACCCACTATGACAGTTTTCCTACATTTTTGTCGACATGCACATGAACATATTATGGAACTGTCTCTTTATACCTTAATCTTCAAATACAAAAAAAAGAGTTGGAGACTGATATTGACCTTCGGGAACTTTTGGCATGGCAAACTTGCCTAGTTATAACAACTATTTTGGTTCACACCATACCTGTATCAAACCCAACATTTCAGGGCCTTTTCTGAACTGAACATCAATTGGACTTATTATAATTGGCATGCCTTCTCAGTATCAGCTGTTGACATTATCTGCTGATAAATGATCTGTTTTCTTGATAGTGTGCTTCAAATATTTCTGTTAAATACTAAAATTGTATAACTTTGGTGTGTAAAATGTGATTATATAAGTACTTACCCACCATTAAACCTGCACTTTCAAATGCATTTGCTTTCTGGTATTTGAGATACGGTTCTTTTCCTAAATCGTCCTCAGAAACCATGAATCCATCTTTCACAAAACGTTCACTAAATTGGCAAAAGAAACTGCCCAGAAACTTCCTCCCCAATTAAAGTCACATCCCAATTACTGCCGCGACCTACTTCAGAGAATGCATCTTCAACTTCTGGTGATTCATCTGTAATGATCAGTAGTCTTCCTCTCATGTATTTTGATATATAGGTATCAATGATCAGATGTGGATCACAAACTTCCTACCTGAAAATTATTATTTATGTTGACACAACCCATCTACTAGAATCTTAGATATTTCTTTATGTTAACCCATACAACCCCTTTAAACCAATATTTATGACATTCAATCAAAAACTATGTCATCTTTCATGCTCCTTGACCATGAATCTGGTCAGTGTGGGTATATAAAAATAGAATGCAATATAGACAAAGATCTTCTTTCAGGAGATGGCAACTATGAAATATAAAGTGCCAGAATTTATTTCGATTTGTTACTGTCATATTTTCCAGCACAAGACTTACAATTCCTCCTCCTGGATCCACTCAAATAAACTTACCTGGATAAAGCATTCAATTTGGTCGATAATTGGTCGATTGTTTTGTAGGAAAACAGTTGTTAATTTTTTCTTTATTTGGTTCATATAATTGACTGAAATCTAGTGGTGGAGGATATGGTCCATGCCTTCTAGAGTGCTTGGATGGCCAAAACAAATTACATTACAATTAATTAACAATAACAAATTTTCAGAATTATAGGAGTCATTAGAACAAACAAAAATGGTAAAAAAGGTAACCAACAGTAACTAACGAACATATTTCAAAATGTTTCATGGCTGTCTCAAGACTTCAACAATACATCTTTTAAACTTATATGTGTTACTATACAACACTACAATCCCACTCTCAGAAGTCAACTCTCAGAATAAATATATTGTCTTTTAAGGAACATTAGTCCAATTTCCATGCAAGTTGTCATAAATTTTAAAACAAAGTTACATGCTAATAAAGCTTCCATTCAAATCATTCTTGACATTGATGTTTTTTGTAACAAACAATAAATATATATATATATATATATATATATAAGTTCATGTGATACAGTGTTTGTAGTTTGAGATGACCTCTTACTTTTCAATAGAAATTTCTATATCAGACTCAAATACTTTTTCCTGTAAACCAATTCATTACACAAATTACTTCAAATTTAAAGACAACAGAACCTATTTTGTTTATGTCATGAAAAGAATAATATGTTGCTAATATGTTCATTCAATCAATGAAGCCAATTT